GGTGTCGCTCGTAGTGCCTGGCGCGTGCTAGTAGGGCACGTTCCATACTCGTCGCCTCCGTGACGAACCCGTCCACAGTTGTCGGGGGATTGCGAATGAGACCTCCGAATATCTCGCTTTTCACACCCCTCATCAGGTGTCGCAGCTTCTTCTCCTCTGTAGCCTGAGGATCGGCGCGGGCGCTCAGGCGAAGAACATCCTCGACGAAGCCGGTGACGCTCTCGTTGGGGCCCTGGGTTCTGGTTCGCAGTAGGTCCTCGGCTCTCTCTCGGCGGTGGTGGTTGCTGAACGTAGCCTTGAGATCGGTCTTGAACATGTCCCACGACGTCAAAGAGGACTCATGATTCTCGTACCAGTGCTTGGCGGTACCCTCAAGCGAAAAATAGACGTTGTTCAGGCGCTGCTCGTCGGTCCAGCAATTGTGGCGGGCAACACGTTCATACTGGTCAATCCAGTCTTCGACGTCTTCGTATTGCTCGCCGTGGAATGGAGCAGCCGTCCGCGGTACGACGGGCAGGTAAACGACGGCTGGAGCGGCCGGGGTCTCCGACTGGTTGGCCATCGTCGTCCTCCTTGTTTGCCTGGTCCTGGGTGGCAAGGGTCCTAACTCCGGGGGTAGGCCAAGGTTCCGGCGACTTAATCGGGTCTCGGTCTGGTCCTCGTTGGGCTCTTGGGGGATTGTGTTCGGACTTGCACTCCGAGAACTCGGAGGGGAGCGCTGCACGGGCATGCGGTTACCCCGCACCTCCACCAAATGTCACGGGTGGTGACCAATAAACAAGAAATGAACAGGAAGAAATAAACGTTTAATGTGGCGAACTTGTGCCAAAACAAAAAGAGAATAGAAAATAATAACAAAGCGTCGCGAGCGTCGAGGTCGGCGAGACAGCAGAGTCGAGCGCTGGGGCGAAACTGACTCGACAAGGTCGCGGGCGGCCTCTTATCTAGAGTGAGTCACTGTCTCGAAGATTCGAGCGTAGCGCGCTCGGGGCGAGAATGAACAAGCACTTTCTAGAACAACAAAAACAAGGATGAACGATAGTTATGGCCGCAGCAAGAATGAACGAGAACTTTCTACAAGTCCGTGACCCTGCGCGCGGCAATATAACGAGTGCAAGGATTGGCAAATGGCATTAAATGAAAAGAAATCTGTAAGCATGACGATTTCGCGTAAAAAATCCCCACTTGTGTTTGACTATGAGTTGTCCGGACACAAGCTTAGCAGCGTAGCTCAATATGACTTATTTTCTCTTCCGAACTTAAATGGGACAACCACATCGATTACATAGTAAGCAGAGCAAACAACAAATTGTGGCATTTTAAACGAATCTTGAAAGATGCTCCGTATACCACTAAACTGCTCGCTTATAAGGTATTAATTCGCACCATTCTTGAATAAGGGAGCGTTGTACGGAACCCGTTTACACAAAAAACATTGACCATATTCATTTACACAAAAACATAAACATATTAGAAATGGTTCCGAGAAGGGCACTTAGGTTTGTGTTTAACGAATTTGGACGTAACCAATCCCCTTCAAAGCTAATCAAAGATAATCTGTAAAACTGATTTAATACACTTGCAAACTAAAAGAAAAATAGCCTTCCAAATCATCAACCACTCCATTAAAATTCCACGGGACAAATACGTAACTTTTGCGACTAGAACAAATGCCAGATTTATGCACTCGAAAAAAATTATTGAACATTGGTCTCGAATTGATTTCTTTAAACACTCTTTTTTTCCACGAACAACATCGGAGTGGAACAAGCTACCCAGGCATGTCGTTGAGTGTGAAAATAATTCTTTGTTTTTAAACCAACTTGCACCTTGTGTATAAATAGCGTGTTTTGTACCAGGAACAGCACTGTAAAGGCCGGTTCTCACATGCAGCGAAGCGCTGATGTAGCGCTCCTCACGTGCCGTTTGCTACTTATCGTCTGCCATGAGCAACAGTTTTGGCGGTGCAATACAAAGCTGGTGAACGCTGCCGTCAGCACGCGCTTAGCGCGAGGTGAGCGCTATGCTTGTAGCGCTCCGCTGCATGTGTGAACAGGCCTTAACTATTACTACTTCATCGAGACTGACCTTTCGCACACAAGCGATTTTACCCTTGCCTTGCCTTGATGTCGATTCTAATCTGTATTTCTTATCATAGCGTTGTATTGGAACGTGACCGCGTTGTCTTATTACTGTTCATTTTGAGTTGATTTGTGCCTTTCCTATTGTATTCCTGTCAATGATTGATATCATTGTTAATTAAAATGAATAAATAAAGTGATAACGATGATGCAGCTCAGCTAAGTGACTTGTCCAGCGACGACCCTTTCGCCGAAGAATCAGAAGAAGAAGAGAAAACTGGACGAGCGGAATTTCTGCTGGAAGAGGAAAGAATGCAACTTTTAAGAGCACAGTTTGGACCCATCATCTTCAAGAATCTGCCATGGCATCACAGCGGCGTCCAGTGAGCTCGAGGTCTCTGAAAGTTCGTTTACGGCGGGCATTGTGGAAAAACAAAAACCCGGCAGTAAAAGTGTTAAAGGCTGGTTCACACATCTGCGTTGGTTGCGTTCGCATGCAACCGAAACGAGTGTGACGACAAAGTCACAGGGTGGCAAGCGATGGAAGGGGTAGCTTGATGAAGCAATCCACGAGCAGTAGCGGATCCAAGGGGGGAGAGGGGCGGTGGGGGCGATCGCCCCCCCCCCCCCCCCAAACGCCTCACCAGGCAAACCCCCCCCCCCCCCCCCCCCGGGGTTCTTCGTCAGCTCGAAGAAAAAACGTAAGCAATCGACGCGAGAAACAAAAGATTAAAACAGCGGTGGGTGGACGCGCCTGCTGGGTGCTTCCAAAGTCGGGTTTATCTCCGTCAAGGTCACGGTACGTCTTCCCGACAGGGACGGCGCCAGGAGTTTCGATGTGGAGAGACAGTGGGGAGGCGCACCAAATATCAGGGTCCTCGACTGCAGGCACACTTCCAAACAAGGCCAGCACGTCGAGCACGGCAGGAAAATACCTTCAACATATCTAGTCCCCTTTCTCTCTCTCTCTCTCTCTCTGTCTGTCTCCCTCTCTCTCTTTGGGGGTTGTCTGCGAAACATTTGTGCCCTGAAAGCTCCCAAACGCAGACGTCAAGCAGCCTTACTCAAGGGTAGCGGATTATCCTTCCTCTCTAGCGGCCGCCTTTTCATCACTTTTCGTTTGATGGTTTCTCCGTGGTTCTGGGCTTGTCTTTCGGCATCTCTTTTTTGGCTTGCTTTGAGATGCTGTCGCCCACGGGCTCACTAAAGGTATCTTACTGGTACGGTGTGCCAATTGCCAAGGAAAGTGCGGAGGGGACGTACCGGGAGGAGACGTTCTAGGGGGGGGGGGGGGGGGGGATACAGCTTGAACAACCAGGAGACCAATTGCTTTTCTTCTGAACTGAGAGAGGAAGCAAATGCTCTAGGTACAGTGTAGTCTGAGTCTGAGCTTCTCCTGAAGACGCTCCGGACTTCCCCACGACCTTGGCTTAAACATAAGCCCGCTTTCGTCCTCGCCTTTATCCCTCACTGAGGATCAGCGCCGCAGCGCGGTATACAGAAAGAAGCCGACGAGCGCCAGAAGGGGGAGATGTTTCCTCTAATGGGCTTCATACTGCCTGCGGTACGACCTCTCGTGGCGGGAAGCTAATAAAAGAAAGATAAACGGTACGAGCACTCTAAAGGCTGGAGGCTGCTTACACGGGGTCCTCAAGCCGACGCCGTAGGCATTTATTTGTATGCAATGCCGTTTCAACTTAGGGTGGCGGGACATATTTTAGGAAAGGCGCCCGCTACCCCTAGTATCCCCTTGGCGCCGTCTTTTCCAGTTAAAAGCGGCTTCTGTGGATTGACGGCAGAGCTTTCGCGCGGCTTTGCGGGAGCGAATATGTGTGTGTCGAACAGACTTGGGGAAAACGAGCCCTTTCAAAGATGCGGCTATACATAAATTAAATAGACAGTGCCTCTGCCCGTTCGAGTGAACACCGACTCCCAAACATCCATGCTGCAGTCGTGATCGGCCTTTAGCCCAGTTGAAATTCGCCGACCTTACAACCGCTCTGCTCTATCATATCTCTGCACTTCTCCTCTCGACCCTGACGAATGAGCTAACTACCCAGAAACAAGTAAGTGTTCCTTACGAAGTGCAATTGAATATAATTTGGAAGGATCCATTGCTGGTTTAAGGTCTTGTCTAAGTTCAAAAGTTATAGTTGCCGAACTGCAACATGCTTTCAAAAATATTCAACAATTATTCGCTTTCGTTCTCTCGAGTTGCATCCAGAACACGTGAAAACACGAGTTGGGGTTGGCAATGTCGCATGTGCTGCGCTCTGGACATTCCAAATATACGGCGAACACTAACTTGCATGGCAGCGTTCGTTTCGCTCGCTGCGTCAACAGTGTTTTGACGCCGCGAGCAGCGTCGAAGCCGCCGGGCCATTTTTTTTTCACTTGTTTGCAACGTACTCTATCCGCTGTTTTAAGCCGCTCTTCCCGTTGCCGCAGCAGTTGAGCACTAGCTCCGACCAGAATGTCTGCCAAGGCAATGTCTTTAAGCTGCCCTAAATCGACTGCTCACGTAGTGTCGGTCTGAAACCCAAGTTTCAGAAAGGATAGTGTCGCCACAATTTTCGAGATACTTACCTCTAGCATGGTCACCCGAAAGGTTTTAATTCAAAGAGTTCATCCCCGACAGGTAAACCGATACAAAAGCTCTCAAGATCTATATTATGTTATCAGAGTTTAGTAAAAACGATACCTCCACAAAAAATATAAACACTCTCCCCCTCCCCCCCCCCCCCCGCCATTTTATACCGAGGAACCGCCCCCCTAAAATGGAGGTCTGGATCCGCCCCTGTCCACAAGTCACTGTTGTTGCGGTGTTTTGGTCGTTAAAGGGGTAGTGGAACGATTTTAGTGTTGAAAGAATTGGCAATTTGTATTTTTTTATATTGTTTACCCAAGCTGTCGGGCTCAACTCCGCCTGTACGGACCTCCTGACACGGATGGAGCGCGTGGCTGGAGGCGGCAAGGCCACCACGTCGTGCTCAAGCCGCCTGCTCAAGAGACGCAGCTTCCGCACCGGGTTTACTACGGTTGATCGAATGCCATTTCATCGAAGCACGTTTTAGAGAATGGGCACGTTTTGTCGAAGCACGGTTTAGAGAAAGCAGGACCTCAGTTTAGAGAAACGCCATTTATCAAAAAGGAAACGCTTTTTAAAAAAAGGCTTTCTACCTTCTCGCGTGTATCACTGCCCCACCCTCGCTTAGTGTGATGCTAGAACAAGAGATGCACTCTTAGAAAAAAGGGTATGGATAGTTCTCCCTTACGGGAGGAACGGTCTTGTAACCTATGTTCCTTTAGAAAGGGAGAAACCTTCGTCCCTGAAGCAGGGGAGCAAGGTTCCTCCGTCGCTTGCATATCAATATGGCGGCCCCGAATCGAGCAAATCGAGCCCAATAAGGCTTAACGAGGACGCTACGTCTCTTGTACGGGACGAGAGCAGCAGCAAATGAAAGCGTAAAACGAGCTTTCCGCAAACTGTGTTTATTTCCGAAGCCAGATTCCCCCCACAGGTACAGAAACCTGCGTTTCGAAAGCAGTTGCTCAGTCTTCTCGTCGACAACACTGCGATGTTAAACGGAGACAACCGATACCCAATTACTTCGCGCCTTACCTTTGGAGTTCCTCGAGTCACAATTCCTTCGTCAACCGCACATCACGGAGAAGAGAATACTCACTCCGCGAAACCAAAAGCCGCTCTCGAAAGAACAAACTCGAAGCCGCTGTTTATCGCGTAGCGTGAAAGAAGCTTAAATCGCTAGCCACCAGAAGGCGGGGTCAAGCAGGGTAATTGCAAGTAGCTAGGCTAGGTGGCGCTATGTACCGCCCAATTCATGTTCTACAAAAAAACATTTGTTTCTTTTAGATCACTACTGCGCTTGGGGATCCTTACTATACACATTACACCCATTACAAGCATCAGGTGAACATTCATTAAGCACATACACTGCACAGACATATATCAATACAACGGAACACCGCACTAACCCGAACACTACACCCGTACTCTGCGTTTCCGCCTTTTATACTGGTCGTTTTGAACGTACGGAACTTTTCGGTGACTCCCTAAGCAATAAAAAATATTCCCAGCATGTTGATTTTTTCCCAGCAATGTCATACCTCTGAAAGTATTTTGAATGGCTCAGGGGTTGAATCTCTTATTAAAAAGTAAACGCTCGATCATGCCGTTATTATTTGAAAGCCAATAAATCAAGCCGCTCCAATGCGGTTCGAAGCCATGAGTTTGTTTCCCCACATGGCACGTCGTAGCCTGTATTTCTATTTGTTTTTCTATTTGTGCTGTTCGCGCAAAGCTGCAATTGCCGTCTTGAATTAATCTCTCTAGAGCGGATATTCAGTCAGCTGGAAGTGATGCTTCACGGACTGAGAAATCGCTTTTCGATCAACTTGAATGCAGTCAAAGCCGCGACTTGCGGCAAACGTTAAGTCTACGGAGCTACGCCGGTGCGAGCCCGAAAGCTTCTAGCGCTCATCCCAGCGCACCACGGAGGGCAGTTTCTCCAGGAACCGTAGTATACATTTAAACAGCAAAATAAATGGCAGTTCTTGTTTTCGATTTTACCTATTGTTTTTTAATGCCGAAATTCCATACTGTAAATATACGTACTTTACGTCACGATTTCGTTCTATTCAGTCCTCGCCCCTGAGCGCAATCGCTCTAGGGGACGAGACAATTCCGACAGTCACATTGGCCACTGTACGATAGGAGCTTCTACTGTTCAGACCAGCGTTCCAACATGACTATCCGCACGTTGATTGATTGCACGTGATCCCTCAAGTGGTATTAAACCTTTTAATGTAAAGCGGAATGTCAACCTGCGACACCCCGCCCCCTCCGATCACAACCCGACCAGCGGTATCAATGCCCAACAGTTTACGATCTATCTTCTTGTTACACCACTGATACGCGAACACATGGTCACATCGGTGATAATTCCAGTCTTCTGTTCACAACCCACAACACTGCCACCACGATGTTGCAGCTATGTTGATGACACGCACAAACACAGAACCACGTTGAACGCCGGTTGCACTCGGCATCGGAAAACAGAACCGAACTCAGGGGGGTAAGCAGCAAAACCTGCTTGTCTTGGACGCAGTTCCTGCGGTTTTTATAACGTCGAAAACGTCGACACAGCTCCGCGTGGTTTCGCTACTGTAGTGACTGTAGTGCTGTAGCTGTAGGGCTGTAGGCTGTAGTTCCGTGTCGCGTGAGTCACGCGATCCGGAGACGGCCATCTCCCAGTGTACGTTGCGCTGCTGGCACTGCTCCGGAACTTCGCTGTTTCTAGCGGCTTTGTTTGCTCGTTTGGTAAAATGAGTGACAAAAACGTCAATGCAACCGAAATGTTCTGCACTTTTAAACTAGAAGACGGAATTACAGGCGGCCTTCGCTGCTGCTGAAGCTCAATGAACTCAACAGCTATTTATTAAACAACGTGCGCGACCTGCTCGAAAAACGAAACCGAAAGACGATGAGTCGGGAGGGCGAAAGCTTTCACCCGTCTGCCTGGAGAAGGAGAAAAACGTTTCGTTCCTCCCCTTTTCTCGTGTCCGCTTGGGGGCGCGTCGGTAGAAGGGAGGAAAACGCGCCGTTGCTACTTTTTTTCTCCATTTTTTCTTATGGTGAATTCCACTCGTAGATCTGGAGCGCTTTCCAAAATCCGCGAGGGAGGCGAAATTCCGCTCCGTGGGACCCGCTCCGTATCGACGAGGGGAAGATAAACTTGCATTTTTGGAGCGACCTCCCCCACCCCTCCCCACCCCTTCTCCTTCCGCCGTTCAAAATGGCCGCTGCTCGGACTTGACCAGCCCACCAACGCCTCAGCCGGCTATCTTTCCGACGACCAGTGACGACTGTCACTGCTTAGCTGCAGAAGTAACACGCGACACAGGCCGGGTGGAATTATACGTACCACGGCGCCCATGTCACAAATAGCGAAGACGTCCGCGTTCGGCACCGTCACATACCTTTCGGCCGCCTCGGAGAGCGATTGCCAGCGGTGGAGTTCAGATTGCTAGTACGGCTTTAATAAACACAGAGGTAACAAACCATCACTTGCGCGGTCGTTGCCTAACCACTTCTTGCTTTATTTCACGGGAAAACGCCGATGGAATGCAGTGTAAAAAGGTAAACAATCACTGGCTGCAGAATGAATAGGCCTAACCTTGCGTCTGCTTCCGGCTTTTCTGTCGTTCTTTTTTTCGTTCTTCCTCGGTGATCACAGATGTCAGCGCTTACGATTTGCCACGCTCCACATTCCCGGCTTTTTATCACTGATCTACGCGAGGTAGAAGCGTTCGAGCGTGGTTCGAGCCGTCACAGTCCAGAGTAAACAACCGACGCACCCGAACAGATCCAACTCCACGACCCGACCGTGGCCCGACCGGCCCGCCGATCTCTCCAACCTCGCCGCGCATGCGCACCGCCGATTAGACGGAAATCACGTGAGCCGCTCTGTCAATTTCCGGAGAGATCTGCGAAATCCCGCAGAGCAAGTTCGGCGGAGTTTGGGGCGCTCCGTGAAGCGGGCGCTGCCAGAGATCTACGAGCGGAAGATGACCAACTTGAGCCAGATCTGCGAGCGGAATATGCGCGCTCCAAATGGAGCGCTTTTGGAGCGCTCGAGATCTGCGACCGGAATTCACCATTAGAGTGTGGCGCTCGCGTCGTCATCCAGACATGAGCAGATAAAGTCGTGTAAGATGGCGGCTCGATAGGGTGCATTTTGCCTTCTCTTTGATTTTGTCACCCCTAGTCATTCTTTAGTTTCTCCAAACTTGATGTTTCTACGAAGTGCGATCCAGTTTGTTTGCGGTGTCATGAAGACGGAGGATTTGATAACCGACGGCACCGTGCGCCCAAGAGCGTCGCTTTTTCTTTTTCATACCTTTTTGTGTTTTTGTATTTACTGCCCTTTTTAATGCTTCGAGTATCATCTTAAAGGCCTCTATAAAAAAAAACAACAAGAAAGAATACTTTATTTTCGGCATTGACGCGTCGCGTCGCGCTTTCTTTTCCACGGCGAATCAGCCTGGAAATAGATTACGTGCCCCAGCGAGGAGCGTTGCTTTGTCGAACGTCGATAGTCTACGCCGGCCCTCATACAGCGGAAGCATCCGTCCGATTGAGATAGAATGAAAACTACAACAAAAGCGTCAGGAAGTCGTCAAAAAAATCGAAACGCCCCACTGCCTTATCTTTAGTGGTGTGGTAGTAAAGAGAAAATCATTTTATAATGCATCTGGTTGTTGTTTCTTTTTTTCCTTCTTTTTTTTTTTTGTTATTGTGGTTCTGGTTTATGCCTAGTATTACGTTTTATGATTATAACGCCAGTAGCTTAAACTTTCAAAAGAACAGATTCCCCATTTTCGTTTTGATGTATAATATGAAAATAATTAACACGAAATCATTTATTTTTATTGTTTTGTCGGGAGCCTGGTTCCAGGCTTCTTAGCTATTTATTTTTACAAAACACTGAGGCTGGGGAACACCTATCGACATGGAGGTTGTATAGTACAATTTTGCGGTCCAAACCTACTCCAGAATAGCTCTCAGCATTCCCTTTTAGCGAGAAAAAGAGTAGGGTCAATGCTATGTTTTTTTTTCTGTTTCTGCAATGTTCAGTTTGGTAAATGCATTAAAGGGCTCGAGGATCTGTCGCATACTATACACATAGCAAATAAAAAGAAACAGTCACGAAATAACTCGTGACACTATTTTATTTGGCGTGATTTGGGCGGTAGGTACACGGCCGGGCTCGGGCCGTGTACCCACCTGGCTGGGTCAACCGAACCTGGGAATTCCGGCCCGTGCATTGCTCTAGTTTAGAACTTGTTGCAAGCTGCTCATTCCAGCATTTGTTTACCAGAATGGCCACCCGGGAATGCAACGGTTTCCGACCCTTGAGAGGTTTTCAACACTCAGACAAAGGTATTATTCACTGACAACCAAACGATGATCAGAATGCGTTTTAATTCCCACCAATCGCCACTATATTCCGAATAGTTATAATTTTAGATTGTTGAAATTAGGCGTGTTCAAAATGTTTAATACTATATTGGCAAAGAATGCCGATGCCCGTGTATTTTGGGGCGCACCATACCTCAAGGATGGTAAGGAGAACATTCGCACTGCGGAAAGCAGGGATCTCTGGCTCGATCTCTGCACGTGTTTCTTTCAATCTCGATAAGCATCGTACCGGCCTATGGTCTTGTAACACTACTGTGTAATGCTTGTAAAATACCACAGGCTAGGTTTCATAGTGTACCGGCTAAATATTTCACCTGCAGCGCTAATCATGCCGCAATAAATGGGGAGCTTGACCTCACGGCTTTGGTGTAGTGTCCAATTTGCTTTTGGTTTGTTTTCTAAGCTCGTCTTTCTAAAAAAGGAGACAAAAAAAACTTTATCCGTGGTTTTTATTTCTTCAATATAGCATGATTTGTTTTTATTATTTCACAGACAAACACGACGTGAGTTAGCGTGCAAGTCCAAATAATAAGAGAACATACGTTTTCTTGTTTTTAGCTTGATGTGACGATGCTTTAATTTATATTAACATATTTTCCTAATGTTTCGTTTTCATTTCACAGCTCCGTGTCAAATCGAACAACCTGTTCTGAAGCAGGGCCAACGCCATCATCAAGCTCTTCAACCTCGAGTCTACTCAATCTGCCCAGCATCATCGCCAAAAATCCAAGCTATGGAAACTCCACCTGTATCTCAAGCAATAAGCTACCATACACAGTTCAGGTTGGCAGTCTTCCACTCAAGTCGAAGGTAGAAGAATAGTTTCGGTTGGGTATTTCATTACCAAAATCCGTAAACTTGAGCGCCATGATCGCCTGAAGGATACGCGTGGCACATTTCGATTTGTACATGAGCTAAGTAGTCCTTATGTTCTTGGCTTATGTTGGTGTGAACGCACTGCAGTGAAGAACGGGTCATTTCAACTAAACACTGGAAGTAAACCAAAATCAACGAAGCAGCTGCAATAGCCACGTTATGCACCGGAAATGGGTAATTCAGCTCAATAGAAGAAGTATTCTCTCTCGTGAACATTCCTTGCATGTCGTCGACAGCATTCAGCAAATAGGAAGAGAACGTAAGGCTGAAGTGAGAAGACATTTTGCTTTCTGAAACGGTCACGGCTGGAAAAGAAGAGCACAGAATGGTATGCAAATCCGGAAACTACACTGAGGATGGATTGCTGTACATAACTGTCGTCGTCGATGCTGGATAGGCCCACCGCAGTTAGGGCCACCGATACACGTCAAGCTCAGGTGTTGCTGTCATCATTGGGTCACAAACAAATAAAATCCTATACCACTTTTTTTGTAACAAGTATTGCAGTACTTGTTATTCTGACGTGAGCAAGAACGAAACTCCACGCAATCATGCCTGCTTCAAAAGTCGGACGGGCCTTCAACTGCTATGTAGTCTGATGTCATCGTTGAAGGATTTTGAGAAAGCCGCCAGATTCATGGCCTAAATACAGAAGAGTTCTGGGGAAGAAGATTCCAATGTCGAAAAGGCCCTCAAAACCAGTGCTGAAAATTGAAGGATGATTACAAAGGAGGCTTGGCATTAACCACGTCATTAAGAACGACAGCAGGTCACACTATGGCATTAGGAGCTTAAGAGAAAGTCCCGCAAAGATTTGACAAATGTTAAAATATAACGATTGACAGCCGCGGCAAAGGGAGCTATGTCTGCAACCCATGCGCTCAAGCAGACAACTGAAGAGCTCGCGAGCAATCTGCGAAATGGATTGAGATATGTATTTGGAACGCATGACAACTGCTCCCCTTACTACTGTCAACAGCACCAGCAGCAAGCATCAACCACATTTGAAGATGTACCGTACACGCTACAAAAAGACCTGATGAGGACTGCAAATAATCTCGCCGACAAAGCTTCTTCGCTTCTGAGAACTCTACAAGTAATTTGGCGGAAAACTACATGTCTGTAGTCTCCAAATTTTCTGGCGGAAGAGTAGGTGCTGCGTTCTCGCAGTACCGACGTCAGGCGACACCAATATAGAAGTTGTCCAACGGGATGAGGAATTCTGGAATTAACACATGCTTCTACGCCCGTTGCGGCTTTCCTTTCTAATGAAAAGGCTACCGATGCAGTGCAGAACGTACGGGCGTGTGCGCCTGCCTCCCCATGACACACAGAATACCTTTGCCGAGGACAAATTACGGTACACAACAATTGGCACGTATAATACGTGATATACTACTCAAACATTCAAACATGCAAGAAATTATTCCAAACTCTGGGTCTAATTGCAGGTAGAACTAATTATTCAAAAAGTACCTTCTATTATGCGCTACGAAATACATATTTAAACACATATCTGTAATAAATTAAAACACTTTTTTGTATGCCTGTTATAATTCTATTGTTTACAAAATGCCTTCTCTTTGCCATATATTCAACTACCTCAACGATGTTTTAACTACTGTATAAAAGTGTGTACTTTTTCATACTCACTGTTTATTGTTGGCAATTTCGGTGTGTCTGTGTATGTTTTTTTTTTTTCTTTTTCGTGTTGAGCTGAGCTTGTCAACCGGCAACGGGGCCACGTTGGGCAGAGCATATCTGCCTTTTGGCCATCCTTTTATAGGAGACTGTAAAGTCTGAATAAACAAAAACACAAACATACAGCGTCACGCTTGTTGTTCTGATATCACTAGCCCGCGCAAGCCTTTAGGCGTCTGACACCCAGACCTTGGGGTTATTTTGGTTTTACATGCAGCGCTCCAAACGGTGCACGTCAACAAACACGATTAAAATCCATTCCTGATCAGCTGGCGCCATCTGTGATTGTTATCAGGAAACTGTGGCTTGTCGTAACTGAATGGGAAACGTTTGATGTCCTATAATGAAGTAAGCGTGCAACCTATCGATAGGTAATTTTCATCAAATGCAATATCAGGAAACACTTCGCACTTTAATGTCTCAAAATTTGCTTTCGTTCACACGCATCCGTTTTTATAACGCAGAAAAGTAATGCTATTTTTAACTTTATTGTTTATTTTGACACTTCAAGTGTTTATTTAGTTAAATATATATTTTTTGGGATTGTAATGTTCCATAGGCTAGACATATAACGTATCAGATGAATTGGATAACTGCAGCTCGAGAAAATAAATTTTGCAATTTGAAAGTGAGGTCCACTAAAATATAAATGGAAAAAAGGCTGCTAAAGATAACCCTATTTTCTAGACATTGAATTGTTAATAGATGGCAGCTCTTTAATTTGGTATATAAGAGATATAATTTTGCATAGCATACATAAAAAGTTTAAGGCTCTCAAAAATAAGCATATTGCCTTGATCGGCGGGGTTACACCTTAAACCATGCCCCCCGCTGCGCTCCCGCCGCTTCGCGGCGGCAGTCTGCGGCGGCTCAATACAAAAATGTTACCTCACCTGATTTACCCGTACACGCCCGCTTCGCGGCGGCCGAATTCGCTAAAAGGAGTCTCATCGCCATTTTCTCTAAACTGGTTTCTCTATAAAGGCGTTCGATAAGCCGGGGTCGGCAAAACTTCGTTCGCTAAAACGAGCTTTTCTAAACCACATGCCTCCGATCCGCACCCACACGCCGGGGAACGCTGGTGTAGTTTTCGGAAGTGCTACGGTGTGCGGCATCACGTTCCGGCCTTGGCCTATTGTACTGGATGCGGCCGACAACAGACCCCGCCGCTTCCTCGGCCTTGGACTAGGGTCCGCATGCTTAAGCCCTGGCCCGCGAACACTTCACCCGAACGACGCTGGTGGCACGTTTCAGTGACACATGATACTGCTCGCTTCATGCGGGCCGCGCGGCCTACGTAACAGACGTCTAGTACTCGCCCCTGGGAGAACGTTATATAAAGGGAGGAAATTCTTTTGTTAGAGGAGAGACCCCGAATGGGCGACTCAACATTCTGCGTGCTGCACACCCGTGAGCGATATGAAGGTGAACAGCCCTCTTCTTGTTTTTGACGCTCCTGCAAGTTTTGGAACAAGCTCTATTCCAGAAGAGGGCTAGAACGCAAAGTTTAGACCCCAAGCCACGCACCATTTGAGACGTTGAGAGTTGATATAGCTTTCGGGAGCCGTAAAACAGGCAAGAAACCAGGTAAGGTTTCTTGCCTGCACATTGCCGGCGAGTGTACATATGCAATAAACCTATCATATCAGTCCTAAAAGAGTTGCTTCAAGGTGGCGGCAGATTTGAACCGCAGCCCGTCGAGGAACAACTAACCCGCTCGACGAACGTGGGCGCCTTTACGGACAAAGGTGAAGAGGCGGTTGCAGAAGTCAAGCACAAGGGACCGAAAACGCGTCACCTTGCCCGGAAAGACTGCTATTCCGGTGCGTAATCGCAAGGAAGAGAACGGAATATTTGCCGATCTGCAGCCGCTTGTGGTGGGAAACGGAACTGATGTGTGACGTACTCTGGGGATACGCGGAAGTGAACAAAACCTGTCCCCCTCGCTGCTACACTCGTCGTCACCCCCGTGCCGAACCGTCTTTTGTGACGATCGCTCGCCGCGACCTGCGACGATGCTAACCCTTTTGAAGTCGATAACCGCGGGGAAAGCGGATGGGGTCTCTGAAGAGAGAAGCCAAGGGGAAACCACGTGAGCCCCCAAGAGTACGTCACACACTCGTCGCGCGACTGACCAAGTGACGGGGGGTAAAGGTGGGTGAGGAGGAGTGCAGAATCCCGTGCGCCGACATCCGGAGTCCCAAGTGAAAGATCGCGAAAGAGAGCGATAGAACACGAGAGAAAGAAACCAATGTTGCTAGCTGAAGGACGACAGTCGCAATGGTAATCGCGAAGACTGAAAACTCTCAGTAATATAAACAGTGGTGAATTGACGTTGTAAAGTAAATGCTGAGCTACTCTGACGCTTATAAAAAGCAGTATACTCATTACGCTGCATTAACTTCCCTTCTGTCGAAATCTCGGAAATCTGGTGGCTGCGCGGTTTCGTATTCCTGGGGCGCGCCCACACGCGCCCCACTCGCGAAGCCGGTACAGACCGGTTATAACGAAGAGAACGGGAATGGGAAATCACTTCGCTATATCATCTATTTCGTTATAACCGACATCGGTAATAACGAAATGCAAAAGGAAATGGGAAATCGTGATAGCTTCGCTGAGCCACTCTTTCGTTATAACCGACTTCGTTATAACCGGTCTCGATGGTATCTGGTTTAGTTTAGCGTTGACGCGAGGCCGTACATCTGCGCGCTATGCAAAAAGAAAGCTTCGAAAGGAACGCGGATATCTTTCCACTGGTAAGTTCGTGGATTGTTGATGTTCATGAAGCTGCTCTAATGATATAATTATGATCGTGAAATCGAAGGCAGTTGGTAACCATGCGTGGGACGCCGAAGGTCTGCCTCCATGCTACGCCGTTTGCGGCAGCCAGAATGCATGGGAAAATGGCGGACCTTTTCCTCTAGAGTAAAAGCTATCACTTGGTCAGTCGCGCGACGTGGCGAACCGCATGAAAGCGACGGGAGCAAGCGACCAAGGCGATGATTGACGTCTTCTAGAAATCCAAAAACCGAGCGACGCGACGAGCAAGTGAGAAATCTCCGTCATTCGTCGCTGACTCTCGTCGCTGGCGCCGTCGCTCGTCTCAACGCTCGCTAAATCGCTTACATGCGGTTCTGACGGCTTATGGCCAACAAAACAATGCTCTTTTTTTTTTTCTTTTTTTTTTTTGTGTGTGTGTGCTTTGAAAGTAGCAGCGTACATTTTTTTCGGGGACACCCTGCCTGCTGCACATAGCTAGTATATACACACACAACCTTTCTCCACGTCACCATTCAAAAATTTTGGTAAAGCTGCAAAGATGACATTGTCATGTGACTCTGCGACGTCACACGACTATGGCGTCGTGGGTCACGTGACGGTAATTTTCCCGCTACATTTAGCGGGGAAACGCTTCGTGACGACGCAGTTAGGTGACGTACGTCACGGTACGTGGTGTGATATATGATGTGTCACAATTTTCCCCTTTACGCTTCCGGTGACCTTACAGCGCCGGGTGACGTTGTCACGTTACGTGATATGACGTCAAATTTATCCGCTAAATTTAGCGGAGAACCAGTGTGACGTGACACTGGCGTCACGCGAAACTTTCCTTTACAAAAATTATCAATGAGTTTCAATTGAGTTTTAAATGTATTCTTATAAAATACACTTATATATATTTTTACAGAAACTCTGTTTAAACCCATTGTCCAATTGGGTTTCCCCGCTAAACTTACCGCGGAAATTTCCCGCTAAATTTAGCGGAAAAATATTGACGTATACGAGGCAATCTGGCGTCATGTGAAGCGTTTCCCCGCTAAATTTAGTAGGACGCGACCCTACACCGTTTACCAAAAACACTCCGGGAAGACGATCTCCTGCGACACCTCGCAAATCACAACTGTCGCCATGAAATACAATTTAAAAAAAGGGCTTTCTTACTTTTGCATTAACACGCACTAACAGCAGACACAACCGAAGCGCAGGCAATCAAGAAACGCATCACTTACCAAAGACACGCGTAGTATGGCGAACTGCCGCCAACCAAGAAATCGGGGCCTCGAAGGTCCCGCAGAGATGCGAACAGCACTGAAGCCACGCAAAGCTGTACTACGTGGCACACGAGGAGAACGTGAGACCCATGACGGAGCCCGAAGCAGCCAGAGCCACCAGAGCGGCCTTTTTTGTTGCCTCTGTGCATTATCTTTCTTTTCAAGCGCCCATTGGCTAAAAACATCGAGATGTTTCTTGGCGTCACGGAACGTAACTTGATGA